CAACCAAGCACACTCACATTCACACCTACGGACAATTTAGAATCACCAATTAACCTCAACATGTTTTTGGACTGTGTGGGAGGAAGCCAGAGAACCCGGAGAGAACCCACGCTGCACGGGGAGAACATGCAAACTCCACGCAGAAATTCCGGTGCCCCCACCGGGACGCGAACCGGCGACCTTCTTGCTGCGAGGCAACAGTGCTACCAACTGCACCACCCTGCAGCCCCTATCTCTACTATATTTATCTTAAAACTTTGAGAGAGAGAATTTGAGAGGATTTGCGGAACAGAACAAAAACCTGAGCCAATATGCGGCAGCTTCTCAGCGTGAACATGAATGACTCTTGGTGAGTTTGAACGTTGAAGCATTTCGCCCACCTGTGCTTGCGAGAGCTCCGGGAGTGGGACGACTTGTATGAATAGCCCGAGTACTGCGACTCGTTGTCCATGTCTCGGGTCGGCAGTGGGCGGGCTTTACGAGCCCCGCCTCCTCCTCCTCCCCCCGTGCCGCGCTGCTCGCCGACTCCGCCCAGCTGGCTCTTGCGCTCGGAGATGGACTTGGTGGACAGAGCCAAGGGCAGCTTGAGCAGGTCAACCTTACTCCTGAGGGAATCTATCTTGGAGGCCGATGAGGTGGAAAGCAGGAGAAGGGAGGTGGGGAAGAGAGAGCGGGGGGGAGGCTAATGAGAGGAGGAAGAGGGGTGAGGGAGGATGATGGGTAGGAGAGCTGCAGCAGGGGAGAGCTGACGTGGATGAGATCTGAAAGAGGAGGCAAAGAGAGAGCAACGGTTACAACTCTGAAACACTGTGATCAGCATCAGTTCATCTGTTCTACAGGATGCACATGGTTTACTGACACAGACTTGTTTCTTCATCAGTCCACAGGTTCTTGGTGGGTTTAAGTCAGGACTTTGGGAAGATCAGCCCAAAACCTCTGTTCCAGCCTGATTTAGCCTTTTTTATTTTTTTAAACCACTTTTGACATGTTTGGGATCATTGTCTTGTTGGAGAATTCAACTGTATCCAAAGCCCAACCTTCTGCAAAACAACCCCAGAGCATAATACTGCCACCACCATGCTTGGCAGTAGATTTGCTGTTCTTCTGTTTAAAGGTCTCACCTTCTCACTGTGACCAAACAGCTACATTTGTCATCTGACCAATAGTATCTGCAGGTGATAGTTTCTGTTTTCTTTCTGATTGTGGCAGCGACACTACTAAGCACTTTTTACTTACAGTGGTTTGCACGGATGTTTTTAGGATCTGAAGCTGCTTTAAAATGGTTCCAGGTGACTTTCCGGACTTGTTCAAGTCAATGACTTGCATTTACAGATCTTTGCTGAGCTCCTTACACTTTCCCACCGTACTGTTTGTGGCTGAGTCTGATGAGTTTATCAAGTGGGCCTGTTTAAGTTGGCTCAGAGGGATCACCAGCTGTAGTCAATTTTAATCACCCACAAGGAGTTAAGAGGTCACACACAAATTTGTTGAACACAGTTTTCTACATCACAGAAACGGATCAATCTGCTGTACGTATGTTTTTGACTCAGCAGATTTTGTCATATTTCCAAAAGAGCAATAATAAATCTACGAAAGAACCACAGATGCATGAGTTTCAGTGATTCCATCGAGACATTTTTGAGTTAAAGGAGTCATTGGAAACTCAAACCTGCCATGATATACATGGTCTTTACAAGTATATGTAAACTTCTGTCCACAGCTATACATGTTAACTGAATATATAGCATTAAAAATAGACAGCAGAAATCACGTGGACCTTTTTTATTTTTCCTGCCTGAGCTTCATGTTATCACAGCAGACCATCTGGATGGAAACGTCCCCAGAGTCTATTCTAAACTTGGCCCAAGTTACTTTCATAATACACATAATGACCTTGGTACAATTTAGAAGATAAACATCTTTTAAACTTCCTTTATATCATGCATTCAATCTACACATTTAAAAGGATTTCTGAGGAATGCAATAGTTTAAAATAGAGCTCTTAAAAGAAAATGTAACACACTTCTCTGATAACAAACGGCATTCATAAGCAACAAAACACAGTCATGCTCAATTCCACACATTGAAGAGTTTTTTTTGCTGCAGCTTTACTTGTTCTGCTATGACCAGTAGCATTCAGTGTGATAGTGTTAGCTCCATGACTCTTCTACTTGTGCTTCTGTTTCTACTACTTTAACCAAAGCCAAGTCAAACAAATAAAAGCCAAAAAAAGGCAAATCACTTCAGTCATTTTTATGCATTTAAAGGCTAGTGTGATTGTTTTTTCAGCAAATGACCTTCAAACGCTGAAAGAGCTTTGAAAACTTCACTATCATTATTAAACTAAATGGTAAAGAAGTAAAACATCCAAATTACAGGAGCTGCAATTTTTGGATAAAGGTAAATGGGTCACAATATTCTAAATTTAAAAAATGATGTGCTACAGATACACCTCAGCCTTTAAATAATATTGTCCAGATGTAAGGAAACGTGCATGTCTGGCAGAGTCCAATGCAACAATCACATCATCATGTAGTATCCTTTCAGCAGACCAGCAAAAGTTACCATTCCCACTAAAATCGTGACTAAATCACAGCATCTATTGGAATAATCACAATCTGATCACATCATTCAGCGCTAATCACTCCATCCAAGCAGCTGATGCACATAAAAGTTCAACTTTAGTGCAAACTAACTCAAGCTGCAGCTATTGTCTGCTATAATAAGACGTCTTAGATTTTCTTCCATTAAATTTTCTACGTCTGTAAGTTGATCAAATTTAAAAAACAATTCCCAGAAAAGGCCCTTTACAAAAGACTCGAGAGGGACTTGACTGCAGAATAAAATTATGAGAATTGAAACAGATAGTTCTTCTTTTGACTGACGAGTATGAGAAGTTTTAGAGTGGAACCATATTTGGGCTGACATCCCATCCATTATCTATACACCGCTTAATCCTCACTGGGGTCGTGGGGAGCTGGAGCCTATCACAGCTGACATTTATATTTATATATTATCCAGTCATGTCATTCAATCCTGATCTCCTGGAGATTTAAGATCTTTGCATTCATTTCATTTATTTTGTTTTCTTGATTTATAAGCTTGAATCTAAACTGCAGTTTTTTGCACAAACTTCAATATGTTTAGCCTGGGCTTAAAATAAAGGGGTGGATATATTTTGCTTATATTCATTATCAATAAGGTTTTGTCTGCAAACTGACCCATCGTAAGCTTCCAGGGTCTAAGGTGATGTGTGTACATTGTCCAAACAACAGCCCCAAATCCAAAAATATTCAATTTACTATGAAATAAAACACAGAAAAGCAGCAAATCCTCACATCAGAGAAGCTGAAACAAGCAAATTTGAGGCTTTTGTCCTATAAAAACAACTCAAGGATCCACGTTTCTTCGTCCAACACCGAATCAGAATGTTAAGGTATAAAAATTGTCAAATTTAGAGGAACATCGGCACCAAAACTAGTCCCTGAAAGTCCATCAGGATCAGAATCAGGTTTCAGGAGGGTGTATCAGTCAAACACATATATGGGTCAGTTTAATTATACAAATGTGATGTGACCCTTCAGGAGTCCCTGTCTTTGTGTGTTATCCGTTGTGGGGATCTGGCACACCACGACTTATCGGCACTAAAACACATTAACCTCCTCAACTCAGACTTTGGTTTCTCCTTCTGAGCTCGTATCACGTCTTCCAGGTCTGCGAGGTTAATCATCACACGACTGTATCTCCTCCGTCCGAGACGCGAGCTTCGGCTGCTGTTCGCTGCCACACAATGGCGGCCATATTGGATTACTGTGTTTTCACAAAACTTGTTTGCCCTCTCCCCTCCCTCTCACCGTCTCGCATTCCCTCCCTCACGCCCCCCGTCCCCCGGGAAACCAGGGCCTCCGCGCTGCCATGGCGATGAAAGAGGGCGTTCAGCTGGAGGGAGGGGGGATTGGAGGCTGACAGTTGCCGTGGAAACCTGACCTCACGCCGCCCTCTGCCACTCTGGAGCAAAATCGCCAAAATAAAAGCGCCGGGCATGACGGATGTTGGACTGTCGTACGCCGGTTAATTGATAAAAGGTGGGTGTGGCACGCTGGCTTTGATTGGGCCTCAGTGGGAAATGGAGGAGGACGTGAGCTGCCATGACGCTCTGACAGGGTCCTGATTTAACTTAATGTGGTTTTTATGCTCTGTCAGAACCATTGTGTTCAAAAATCCACTTCCCTTTCAGCCAAATACTGTAAGACAACCAATCTGTCTGTGGGATTTCTGTGTTTATCCACATCATACAGCACTCATACTCTTTCGGTTTTGCAGCTTTTCATTTTTTTCTCAAGACAATGTTTAACTCATCCTCAACCAAAAGTGCATTAACTTTTTACCAGAGCAGAGACGATTTTCGGAGTCTTTCATCCATGTACAAAAACCTCAACAACATGCAAACCACAAAACTGAAATGACTAACAGCCTCTTCCTGGTGTATCATCATCAGCTTTTATCTCCGGTAATAGCAGAGGACTTAGCAGAATCCTGCTGCGATTTTAAGCCACATAAAATGCAAAAAAAAAAATGTCATGTTTCACGCAACCACATACCACAGCAGCAGAGAGGAATCTGCTCTCTGAATGTCACGCAATACGAGCAAATTCTCGCTTCAGATTCTGCAGGACATTACACTGAGAAAGCACATTAAAAGAGAAGAGCACTCAAGCTCTGCCCTTCTCCTTTGAAGCATCTCAAGCAGAAAAACAGATATTTGTGTCATTACTCAGTGAGCACAGATTCCCGTATACGAGCAGATTTAAGTGGAATTTCTCAGCAAAAAAAAATAACTCAAAGACTCCCACAGAAACCAGACAGGCAACAGACTAAATCTAAACAGTGTTTTAATCAAATAGATGTTAAGGTTTAGCTGGAACTTGCCCCCAGACGGAGAAACGCCGGCCAAAATAACAATCAGAAATTATGACCGGCCTTACTGTTTATCCTGTCACTTTGTAAAAATAACAATTAAAGCGATTACAGCAATACTGTGTGTATTTCAAAGCACCGACAGCAACAGATGGAGGAGCAATATCTTATTTCAGCAGCGTATTTACAGATACATTTGAAAATAAGACATGGAAGACTGCAGATATGTGACTCCGTTTGCATGTCAAGATAATTGCCATGATGACTAAATGACATTACGAGTTTCACAAAGTCCAAACGTAAAGAGTCCATATGGGTCTAAATGCCACGGAGAGCAATTACAGGGCCGAGAATAGAAGTCTAAATCCCTGCTGGTGACCTCTAAAGGTGACTTACAAACATCTTAGATGGATCAAACACTGCAAAGACAGCTTAAACTTTGCTAAAAGGGCGGCACTACAAAAATAGGAGATTAAAACCAAATGTTTGATACTGTAGATTAGGAGTATTTCAGCCCAGTGTGGGTGGAGTCCTCACAGGCTTCCATAAAAGGCTCATCATCAGGGAAAAATGGGAGCACTCTGTTTAGTTAAGGGTAATCTGCTGATCTCTAGATTTTCTGTGTGTACAGTTACAGACTTTAGCCCAATTAGTGGCACAACAGGTAAAGGTAAGACAACCAAAAACAGACCGATAACTCGTCTGGGAACCGTGAACTTATAGCGTAACTTTCAGGAAAAGATGCGATTTATGT